GCTGTAGCGCTTCCTCATTTTCACTTGCAGCAGGTTATTAATGAGGTCAATTGCTGTAACAACAAAACAGGTTGTCAGTGCATGAGCAGGCCGTGGTGGAAACCTGAAGGATTTTGTCTATGGGGATAATGAGCAAAACCAACATCATCTTAACACTATTTCAGGGGTCACAAATTTCTGAGACGCACCAAAGTTTGTTAACCTTGGGGCCTCGCCGCTTTCGTCTGAGGGATCATAGGGCATTATTCACATGAATGACTCGTAACAAAAATTGAGCACGCTCTCACCAATCTCTCTCTTTAACCCCTGCCCTCTCTTCTCTTCAACTTTTCTTCTCCCTTTCCTTCTCTTCCACCTCTCTTTCCCTCATTTACACAGCTTAGTAGTAGCAAGTCATGCAAAATTAGTTCTTCAAACACATTCATGAGCAGATTCCACAATATCTGGCCATTAACTTTATTTAAAACTGTTGATTTATGCAATCTGCTATTGAAATATAGGTGGAATATATTTCCATCATTCAAAACACGCTGTATTTTTTCATAGATTTTAAATCAAGACCAGGTTTGAAAGAATTTTTACAAATATATGCCATTTATTTTATTTTAAAAATTTGGAAATACTATAGTTTCCTATATCATGAGGTCAGCCAGCAGCGATAATTAGAATAAATGAAGCTTCAATCTTATATATCTAAATAACAAAGCATTTAACGTCATCTACCTCATTGGATATCAGTAGCAGCTGGGCTACAAATAGTATTTAGTGTGGAAATAGGTCATATTTGTACTGTGCACCAGCAGTGACATTAGCTAATGGAAGTTAATGCAGCGGAGAAGGCCTATTAAAGTGTCTTCCATCCAGCTAGCCATGTGACGTACGATTCACAAACATAGCTTTGGATTAACGCTTACATTTTTGAGGATTAACACACACATATTGGACTCTAAATCATTTCCAGCTTAGAGAGGTTAATACAGCTGGCTGCTGACTTACGTTTAAATAGTTAGCTCAATGTTTCACAACCTTTTAAAGTGCATTTACTTCTAAATCTGATTTGGAGGCACAATGTTTTATTGTTAACGTGATATAGTTTTACTTTACTTTGGCTTCCCTGGATGAAAATGTTTTTATTGTAAGTTATGTGAATGTCGCTGACATGAGGAGAAAATTTATTTTGATTATATCAATCAGGTTTTTTTTACCCTTTTCGATAAATTTCTTCAATTCTAAAAGTAATAGACTTAGTATACTGCTAATAATCACTTAGCAATTTTAACACTGCATTTCGACATAAGATACATAACAATACATGCATATCTCCTTATGAAAACAATGAGAAACTTCTGCATATATAGAAATATCAATCTAATAATCCATAAAGTAAAAATAAATCTATACAATGCCGTAAAACAGGAAGATCACATCAAATGTGCATTTTTTTTTTTTTTTACAATTTTTATTATTTATTTTTTTTATCTATAACTGAGTATATATTGTGCGGTCAATAGGAATTTGATCACCCTGTGATTTTTTTGATGTGTTCAAGATTTTTTTTCGAGAGACTGAATCTAAAAATAAAAATCCAGAAATACATTTTTTTAACGATTTATTTGTAAATTACCGGGTCAAATAAGTATTTCATCAATTGCTTTTCAGCCAGACCCTCGAAAAAAATAATTTTGCTTTTAAATAGTCCCGTAGCAGTAGCACTCTACTCACGATTCTATGTGAGTAGCACCTGTTTGAGGTCATAAGCTGCCTAGAGACACCTGTACACCCAACAATAAAGCAGCAACATTGGTAAAACCCAAGAACTATCAAAAAGTTGAAGAGGTCTACAATTGCCAAGGATCTTGGTGAAAAAAAGACTGGAGAAAAACTGAAAAAAGATCATAGAAAAAACTGTTAGTCTGCTCCAGCTCCAAAAGAAAAACGCATTTCCATTGCTTTGTATTGGGATTTATTTGGTAAATGCTTTTTCATCATAGTTTATGCACTTTTTTTCTTAGCGGACAAAAAGTTTATTGTATTAAAATTAAAGAAAATTATTCGCATCTTGGTGTTTCCATCCAGGGTTTTTTTATGCCGTATTCCAAAAAGATGGATGATCTAGAGGAGTCATATGGTCAGTTGAGATCAAGGTAGAGTTTTTTGGTCTTAACTATATTTGCCATATTTGGAGGAAAAAGAATGATTAGATTCATCCCAATAATACCTTATCTACAGTGAAGCACGGGGATGGAAGCATGATGCTCTAGGGAGCATGTATTAAAGAGGGGATAAACGGGGCCAGGTAATATGAGGTATTGGGCAAAAAGCTCCTTCTCTCAGTCAGAGCATTAAAATGGGTCTTCCAGGATATCAATGAGCCAAAGCACAAAGCGATGAAAAAGAAGGAGTGGCTCCACAAGAAGCATTTCAAAGTTCTGGAGTGATCTAGCCAGTCTCTAGACCTAAATCCAATTAAAAATCTTTGGAAAGAGCTGAAAATAAGTGTTGCTAGAGACAATCTGTATGGAGGAGTGGGCCAAAAGCCCTCCTGCCGTGTGTGCAGACCCGGTGAAGAACTACAGGAACTATAGACACTAAAAAAAAAAAGTAAAGAAGTAAAAAAATAGTAAAGAACATTCTTTCCTGCAGCAATGGCCAGCAGATTAGCTAACCATATAACACTAGGCTAACATTGCTTTTGAATTAAAGACACGAGGGTTTTAAAGATGTGATAAATTATAATGTTTAGTACATTTTCAATTTCATAACAAACTTGATATTGACTTCACGTGCACTGGCGGTTGGGATGTGTATTCACCCAAAACTCACCTTCTGGCGTGACGGTTTTCCACGGGTTGGGTGGGTACATGAAAGCAGCATTCTGAATTTGGTCGTGAATGTCTTCATCCTCGTTGAACGGGAAGGTTCCACTGAGACTGACATAGACAATGACACCCACTGACCACATGTCCAGCGAGCGGTTGTAGCCCTTATTCCTCAGCACCTCAGGTGCTAGGTACGCTGGGGTGCCAACCACCGAACGGCGAAAAGACTTCTCCCCAATAATACGTGCAAAGCCGAAATCACACAGCTTCACCTGCAAGACAATGCCACCAATAATGAGCTGCACAATGAGCAGATGCCAAGAGGAACTGGCTATTTCATTCTACTAGGACTGAGATGCACAAAAGACCAAAAAAAACAACATCCCTTTGTTCTCACACCAGCTTTAACACCACAGACGCTGTAATGATCAGTTGTCACGATCTGAACGAAAGTCAAGTGAAATTATCACCCAGTTGGCTGTGGTTACAATGTATCTCCTGCTGGTTTTCACTTTCCACCTTAAACATTTGCTAAAGCACTATAACGACCAGGCTCAGACGCAGCGAGCTCTGGTTCCGCTTCCAGCTTTGCTAAATATTTGTGAATGACACGCAGTGATTTGTTTTAGTATTCTTCCGAAATGTTTGTCTGCGCTCAAAGAGTGAGTCATCTTTGTGCTTGAGAGCTTCCAGAGAAACACTCGAGCAGCAGACAGAAGAAACAATGGGAGGATGATTTAGAAATCTTTCATTAGAATGTAGACACACACAGCCCTGTGCCTCGAACACACCACGAGAACACTATAATTACCATCTTTTATTCTTGCCGATTTACAAAAACAGATCCTTTTATCTTAATTTTGGTGTGGCCTCAATTCATTGAGATATTTTGTTTCTTTTGTTGTCGCCTCGTGCTCTGTTCAGATTTTACTCACTTGTGGAAAAGAATCAGCAGAGGCCAACAAAACATTTTCAGGCTTGAGGTCACAGTGAACAATGTTTTTGAAGTGAAGGTGCCGCAGTGCAACTAGAATCTGGGAAAAGAACAGAACAGGGTTGTTATAATGTGTGGTAAACAGCAGAGATGGTAAATAAAAGATTGCACTTGTTCCACTATGTATTTTGACTCTGAGTGAAGCTTTACCTGCGTTACCAAAAACTTGGTGATGCGTTCAGGCAACCTCCCCTTCTCACTTGACAAAATCATCTCCAGCATGTCGCCATGGAGCTTTTCCATGACAACAAAAACACGCTCTGGTGTCTCAAACATGCACTCGAGGTTCACAATGCCTGGATGGTGAAGGTTCTTCAAAAGATACATAAAATAAAAATCTCATTATGAATTCTGCTTTACACAGAACTTTAAATGAAAACATTCTCAAAAATAAAATATTATACACTGTATAGAACATTGATGCTTGAATCAAAATATATTCTTACAATTAAATTGATTATGAGAATCAACTTTAAACTTTTGCGTGTTTAAACTTAAAACATTACCTTAAAAAGTCGAAAAATGCAAAAAATACTTGCAAAAGCAGATTTAAAAAAAAACAATGGCTATCTCTCCTCTCAAAGTTACCACTCAACTTTGAGCTCACTTTCCTTTTTTATTAGCTTGTTTTGCACAGAACGTGGTTGTAATGTTAAAGTTGCAATTTATTTAATTTCAAGATTCTATTGTATTTCATTTATATTCAGTATTATTTAATTTTATCATATCTATGTTTTATGCTAAGCTTTTTTGATTCTTCTCAATAAAATATCTTTGGAGGTAGAGGCGGGGTACACGCCCAAGTGTATTTGGGGTCTTGAGTGTGTATTCTTGTGTATTTACCTGAAGAATGGCAACTTCGTTGCGTAGCTGACTTTCCTGTTTGGTGGGAAATCTCAGTTTATCTATGATCTTGATCGCAACATCCCTGCCAGTTTTCCGGTGTTTTCCTGCATTATAGCATAAAGAATATTCTACATCGGGATTTTGCAATAATTTGTTAAACGTGTGGTTATTTACTGTTAAATGTAAAAATTGAGTAACACTTGATGGTACATAGTAACAATACATTTATTCATGTGTGAATCTTCACAGTCTATTAAAGACAAAGATATAATCAATCATTAATGCATAAAGGAAGAAAGGAATTTGGCTTTAAATATTAATGTCAATCAAAAAACATAGAGGAAGTGGTGGTGCAGTGGATAGCACTGCTAACTCAAAAATTGTAGGCTGCCGGTTCAAGTCCAGCTAAAATAATAGTTTTTAATCAAAAGTAATTTATTAGAGCAAATTGTAAAGTAGTAAAAATGACCAAAAAGGCCCCAGACAACTAAGGGTTAAAGAGGATCTTCTCGATCCAATGTGTGATGACTTGGTCATTTGAAACTTGTGGTGAAGTACAACCAAATGCTTTCACACATTAATGATTTGATTTTGACAAAAGATATTTGTCTTTCTGTACTTAGATATTTGTCTAAGTACAAAGCAATATAATATAGAGTGGAATAAACAGTATTCTCCTAATATGCAAAATCCTGAAAATGTACTGGTATGGAACATTACCTCCATAGACGATGCCAAATTGCCCGGAGCCAAGCACTTCATCAGGGAAAATCTGATAAACAGTGCTAATATCCTTTTAGGAAAACAGAAACAACATGTAAGCACACCACACTTGTCAAAACATTTCCTGGCAGCTTAGAAACAATGCTGAATGCATCAGATTTTGGGAGCTCATATCTTTTTTTTTTCATTTTGTACTGCTTCCACAGCTGAATTCAGACCAGTAGCCTAAAGAGCCATTTCCACATCTCACTAGGATTGTGTCAGAAAGACTTGAGTTACCATGACAACCCCATGGTCGAGCAGGTAATCAAAATAATCTCCAATAGAGGCATTGTGTGTTTATATCACACTGGAACTCAAGGTTGTAGGTATAGGCAAGCTGACGAGAACATTCAGTCCTTTCACACAAAACAAGGCTTAGCACTGAAAGTATGATATTTACTGCATCAATGTCTCTAAAAATATAAAAAGCAGACATTTTTACCACATTTTCTTGAATCTGGCAGTTAGATACGGAGATGCTGATGGAGACTTCTTCTGTTGATAGAAAAAAAAGAACAAATCATTGTCAAAATGTCAATGCAAAGGAGGCCATATACTCATTTACAACTTCAATATAAATTGGGAAACAAATACTTTTAAGAGTTTTTAAGGCGCCTTTATAGCTGTGATAAAGATTGTTTGGTCTGGATTATGCACACAGACCATAGAATGTTTACATGGACAGCAGACATGTGTGCATGTATTATAATCAGAATGTTGGAGAGAAAAAAAAGTCACCTCCTCTGACTTAAATATAATTCACATTTAGGTTAACCCTTGGAAGTCTGCGGCCTTGTAAAGGTTTGAAACTTTACAATTTGGCAAAGCTTGGTATCATTTTTAGTCAACCCCTGCAGCTTCTTGCATTACACAATAGTTACACAACAAAACTGAAATTATACCAAGTTCAGAGTAAAACATTTTGTAATTTTTCTACTGGTTTTTATGTTTTACAACAAAAACAAAAAGATTTTTTTTTATTAAAGGGAAATAAAAAAGTATAAATCCCAGCCAAAAGCAAAGACAAGGTCAAAACAAAACAAAAACAGAAAAACCTCTCTTAAACCTTATGCACTGTGCCATTGGGCTTTTTTTGTGTGAAGATCTTAGAAAATACAAGCCATCTCACAGGTCTTGTACTTCTTTCACCACTAGATGGCACTGATGGCACTGAATTGGGTTCTGTAAAACGAAACCGATTAGACGAATTTTCTCACATTTTAATTGGAATTACCTTGCAAATTATGTGTCCAGTTCATTAAAATCAAGCCTTTACTTAAAGTGTAAATCTTATTATTAATTGATCATTTGGATGCATGTAAACGCAGTCATGTAATGACACCCATTGACCAGATGTGTCTGTTTACGTCATTTTCTTGCTTTTGATTGATCAGAATTAACATAAAGGTGAATTGACCTTCTGAATGTAAACAATGGGATAGAAAAGCTAAATCTTGTTATCATGTGCTTTATAGTTTACATTATAGGCTATGAAGTATAATAATATGTATGTTGTAGCCAGCAATTGCCATCTCGGAAGTGTAATGATGTAACCATACAGGGGCAAGTGGTTTACAGTGGCAGGACATGGGCATGGGAACGTGTTTCTTCTGCTGTAAAGTTGGGCACTCATTGAGATTTCAATGACAATCTGCTCAAGTGGACAATCAATGATTTGCAGATTAAGCTCTTTTTCTTTTAATTGTAATTCAATTGTCTCTTTCTAAAGACAAACAACACATTTTAAGAGCTAAGCCCAGCCAACAAATGCACATCGTCATCTCATAATGTACTATGAAGCTGACTACAGAAGCTGGATTATAATGTTCATTTGTCAAAAATTCATTTGTTCATTTGATTTTTAACTCCAAATTTCACTTGAAATTATACAAAGACTACCTCTTCAAGCAGGTCTTTGGTCAGCTTTTTTGTGCATTTTATTGCAATTGTACTCGTAAGGATGAACCAAACATAGCATAATGTGGATCAAACAATCCAAAAATTCTAGGTATAAAGGCACCCAAACATCGACAGGACAAAAATGCAAAAAAAAGACCAAAAATAATGCCATTTCTCCTTAGAAACAACCCCCAAAGGTTTCACCGTGAGGTTCATACTGTGGTAGTTGTGATGGCCTCCTTGCGATATGCCCTTGGAGATGACTGGCATGAGAGCATGCTGTATGGCCATCTCCCACATGTGTGCCACATCCTGTCCCACGCCGCTAACAAGCATGCTGCTTCCATAGCCCACTGCGCTACAGTCAGCTCGACTCAGGTTCTCTCCCACATAGTACACCAAAGAAGTAGTGGCAATCTCAAAACAGTGAGGATTGGCACCCTCGGGAAGAAGGTTAAACGTTTTTGCAGGTTCCAGAGATAGCACTTCAGATAGAGGAATTTCCTGTTGGTGAGAGGAAAGAGGCCCTGGTTGAAACCTTAAGTCTACATCCTCAAAAGGAATGTTGAAAATCCCAGATATGTTCTACGTGATTTGGTGACGTTACCTTATAGTATTTGCTCCCAGTGTCATTCTGGAAAAGTGTTATACACTTGCTGTCAAGTCGCCAGTAATGCCTCTTTCGCTAGAATGGGGAAAAAACAAGTAATGATCACATACATTAAGAAAAGTTCACCCCCCCCCCCCTCTACTATTTTTAAGGCTTCTAATGGCAAGCCTGAGCACTTACCAACGTATCTTTGCTGGTGAAATGTACAAGCCAGCCTTCTTTCATAACATTGCTGCTTTTCCTCTTGGTGTGTTTGACAGACTGAACCACCCGCATAAGTGGGATGTTGTTGCTGGTGGAAGGGCTTACAAACATGGTGACATGTCAGAACCTTCAAGCAAATGTCAATTTCACTGTTAAATAGGCATTTCAGAATTCAGAATATGTTCAGATTGGAGCTGCAGGGTACAGTTTTGACTGAAGAGACGACAGCAAAACAGGCTGTACCTCAAACAGCGGATGTAGTGATTGTGCTCCAGAAGAACACAATGAGACATAAATAATTAATAGTACTCGTTAGGATTTTCCCTGACATGTATTCAGGCATAATATTTGACCTTCTCTGTTATTTTCAATAATAGTACTGCATTGAACCATCAAGTCAATCAATAATTATTTTATTGAGCTTTTTCGTGGATTAAATAAATTGGGTAAAATCTCTTCGGTAAATGTATGGTAGCACACTATAACAAAGTAGAATGTTGAAAGACCATGAAAGATTTCTTAATGGGGTCGTGAACTGGGTTTGTTTACAAATCACAGAGGTTCGATTATGGAAATTCGCATTTTACATCAACAATCTACTGTATATAATATGATGAAAACACCATTTTACCATATTTTTATATGTTTTCTAAATGATTGACTTCAGTAGGTTGATTTTCAGCAGCCATCCAGCAGTGTTTTCTTTTTGGCCAGCAGTTTAGTATATTAAATTATCTTATTTTGAAACGTGAAAAATTGATTTCATGATAAAATAACAATCACTTAGAGAAAAAATGAAGCAAATCTGCACAGCAGTCTTTGTTGATATAGAGATTGCTGTAGTTTAAGCAAAAAGGACTTGGTCTTAAGGCAGAAAGTGCCAGAATTACTTAAATAAATGCGCTATGGAATATTTATTTATTGTTTGATATTCAATAACCCTTTCAGTCCCTGTGTCCATTACAATTAACATCATATTTTTTCCTGGCATTTATTATGGATTTTTTATAGATTAATTCTTTAAAAAAGCAAACATTCTTTAGGTTTTTGTTTTGTGTAATTTATTATGTGCAGTTTTTACCTGATGTCTATTAAAACAGGAAGAAAGGGTTCTGGGATTGTTTAAGGGTTCTGGGATTGTTTAAGGGTTCTGGAATTTAAGGGGTAAATTGGGCCATGCTAAAATTGTGATGACAGTTTAATTATACATTTTTCTAGAGCTACCTGATGATTCTGTTGGATTCATCTGGGTCTTGATCTTGCAAATCCCCCAAATCAAGGTGTCCAGCTTCCAAAAGACCAGCAGAATCGCCCACTAGAGAGTCATCCATATCATCGATCAGAGGACTGTGTCTGTCTCCATCGTGGTCATCACAGCCCTCCTCCATGACAACATCAGATTCAGCACCAGGGCTCAGTAAATCTACAAGCCATCATAACAAAGGGATAGAAGCAGGACAAAGTAAGTCATGTGATGTATAATCTGAGTTATGAAGCTGTCAGTTAACACCATTAACTCAAGAAAGCAGAACATAAAATATAACAGTTTCAGAAAAGTAGAGCAAAGGTAGCATTATATTATAATTTAAATTGTGAGTATCATAGTAGTGCGTACAGCTGTATAATTTGCTCCTGAGCCTTTGCAATGATTTCATTCTATTGTAAAAGTACAGAATGAGATTGATCTGGGCGCTCAAGTTATAATATCAATTACTTTTATTATTTCTTTTACCATGCAGGGTTTGTTAACTGCGAGGTGACAAATCTTTGCTCTCCATCATGTGGAAAAAAGAAGGTAATTTAATGAAATCTAATTTACATGTTCTGTCAAAAAGCTCTTTATCCAAAACTCAAACTGCAGGTTTGAAAATAACGAATATAGTAGGGCATTCTTTTATGGTCATGTCCAGCAGAATTGACGTTTAGTGAACTGTTG